TATACCAAACGCCTTCCCATATGTCCTTCAAGCCAAAAACTTGGTCTCCCCCTGCTGAAAAAGCCAATCCCTATTAGCATCCACCATGAACTCGGTAATATTGAACTCCCCCGCCACCGCCGCCCCCCCACCATGCCCTATCCCTCCTCCCCCCATCCCATCACCCCCCGAAACACCATGACCACCACCATGCGAATCACTCACCATCCCAGCCTGCGCAACCGGCAGCCTCGGCACATTAAAAAAGTCAAACACGTCCAAATACTCCAACTCGTTCGTGGCCGGCGGCGCCTGCCCAAACCTCCCCGGCCATCCACCACCACCACCACCCCTTCCCGGCCCGGTATGTGCCCCCCCACCAGGACCACCAGCAGCACCACTCGACCCCGGCACACCATTCTTGCTCCGTGGAACATGCCTCGGCTGCCGACTGATCAAAAAGTCGAGGTCAAACGCCGTCCTCCGCATGTCGGCCAGAATCTTGACAATCTTCGGCGTCTCGCTCCCTCCCTGGCGAGCATTGTCGTGATGTTCCTCCAGCACACGGGTAAGAAGCCCACAGTACCGCGTCGCGACAGGCCAGTACCGCCCCATCTCCCCCAGCGTGTCGATAAATAACCGTATCTGCGAGGTGTCCAGCTTGTGCTCCACCGTGCTCCCGTGAACAAGCAAGACGCGGGCGGCCACCCACAGCGTGAACGCGAATGGTGGCCCGAGCTTGTTCAGCAGGTTATTGCTGACGACAAACTCGCGGAGGGCAGCGATGTTCTCGGCCGCACTGTGACACCGCTGCGAGGCGCTGTAACTTGGGGTGAAGATCGGGGAGCGGGTGGTGGGATAGGCGGCGGAGGAATGAAGGCGGATGACGGCGGTGTGGAAAGTTGCGTGCAACATCACCCAGCCACAATTGATGGCTTTGGCGGAGCTTGGTTGGAAGAGCTTGGCCATGTTGCCATAATCCCCCGGGAGATTGAACTTCCAGGCAGCCAGCATGTTGTCCAGCTCCTTGTAGCGCATCTGCCACTGCTCGACATCCGACAGCGCGCTGATGTCAACGGGCTTGCGGAGGAACTTGTGTATCCTGGAGAGTATGGAGAGGATCTCGATATAATGGCTGAAGGCGCCCAGATTCTCCGGCTTGTCGACCTCGTACTCGGGCGAGTTGCCACTTGTCAGGGTCGGTCGAGAGTCGTCCAGGCGCAGCCATCGGGTGTCGACTTTTTGGTTCTTGATCCATAAGTCATCTCGACATGGGAGGGTTCGGTCAACCTCTCGATCGTCGAGCGCAAAGTCAAAGGCGGTGGCTATCGTCGCGTATCGGTCGAGAAGGTACACCATCCAGAATAACCTCCGCCTGGACTCTTCTTCAATAAAATCGCGGGGTTCTGGGAGGATCATGGCCCGGAGCGTGTAGATGGACCGGTAATTGGGTGCCACGGAGATGGAGTTGCTTTCCACTGCCAGACCTAGCTGGACGACGGCCCGGGTGATGATAGCCATGATGTTCCAACCGGGCGGGCCATTGCCGCTTCCGCACAAATCCAGAGCCAGGATGACCAACGCCTGCAGCGACTTGACAGAGAGGTTCTCCATGCCATACAAAATCACGCGGTTCTTGGACGCGGAATGGTATCGTTGGCGAGCTCCGTCAGTCAGCCGTTGATCTGTCGAGTACCGTACGGTGGTGGCCACAATGGCATGCAGCAGGATCTTGTCGGTCTCGTCCAAGATTGACGGCCCAAAGAGGGCATCCAACGTCGTCGTTCGGTGTAGGATAGGGCACCACGTGTTGATGTGCTTAAAGTACAAGTCCACCAGGCCATAGAGCAGGTCGTACGGCGGTAGCTCCTGTTCGGTGCCCATGTGGCTTCCTGGCGGCGCGTGGGCTGGTGGTGATTGTAGAGCGGCCACCGAGGTTGTCGGTGCGGTAGTGTAGTACTCCTGTGCTCCAGTGCTTGGACCGGAAGCTGGCAACTGGCCGCGGGGCGAGACGATGCTGTTGGATAGACTCTGAAACGGGTCCGCCATGGTGGATGTGGCTGACAGAGGGCCCTGTATCCCCAGGTCAACCGATGTCGTGGGTCTTTGGAGGAACAAGGCCGTCTCGGCCTGGGGGGTCCGGATGGTCTCGCTCCGCGCGAATATCGACGGCGGGCCGGCTTCACGGACCTCTCGTGGCGTGCCTCGATCGCTCAGCTGGCTGGTGTGACTTCCCCTGACGCTGGGAGCGTTGTGATGGCTAAAGGCACCGGTACCGCTGCCATTGCCGCTTCCCGGACTAGTGTTTGAGTTGGAGGTCAGAGCTTGCAGCAGCTTGTCGTGAGCCCTCAACATTCCTTCCAGCTTGTCCAGCCGCTGCTCCAATTCCCGTCCGTAGCCAGCGCGTAGACCCGGCTTCTTGCGCTCCTTGTATTCGCAGGTAGCTCCGTTTCGGCTACACCAGCCGCACGATGGCTGGGCGCGGTCACATTTCACCTGTCGCGGTCAGGTCAGCATCGGGGGCCGGGCAATGGCTGTCGGTCGGGTCGGAGGGGGGGTGGACGAGAACTCACTTTGCGCTGTTTGCACAACTCGCACCTAGCAAGGCAGCACAACAAGGCCAATTAGCATTTTCCTTAGCGTCACACAGCGTGTTGTTGAAGTGCTCACGAAACAGATACCGGTCTCTTGCGCTTCCCCAGACGCACGCCCTCGCCCTGGTCGTCGAGGTCATGGTCGTCTTCCCCACTCTGCTGGCCTCCGTCATCGCTGTCTGCGGGGTCCTGGTGGTGATGTCCGCCGCCATGCGACGAGTAGGAGGGCGATGACTGGGCGTGGGAATTCTGACCATTGTTGTTGTTGTTGTATCTGGTGGAAGCTTGGACCGCCGGCTGCATCATGGCCAGAGCTTCTTCCCCAGGCTCCCGTCTTAAGCTCAAGCCTTTGTCAAGTCCCCAAGACAACCAGCCTGGAAGCGCCAGCCGTTGAGTGGTGACGCTTACTGCGCGCGCCGAGCGAGTGGATCGGGGCAACGACGCAGGTTGCCGAAGCACGACGACAAGCAGCACAACCCGAACGGGGGAACAGTTCGCAACAACGGGCGGGCGGGCACTCTTCGGGATTTCGGGTCCTCGGGTGTCAGAAACGGCAGCGGGCAGCGCCAACAACACGTGTGATTGAGACAAGAAACGACTCCAATGAACACTCGGGGTAATGATGAGCAGAACAGCGAGGGCGGTGGAGAGACCACATTCCTCTTTTTTACCCAGCATTAATTTACCTTATACCCAAACAGGGACACCAGGGCACTACCTACACGACTAGGTGCGGTACGGAACACCACGTTGCGGCGGTCATCTGGGGGAGTCTGGGCCCGGGGGAGCTGGGGAGCTGGGGAGGGGGGTGGTGAGGGGGTGCCCTGCTGGGGGAGAGGACTGTTGTTGGACCGTGCCCGGACCTTGCCTTTGCTTGGATTTCCGGGGTTGGTGGAGTGCGTGCCCTGTGTGGAGAATTGTGGGGGGTGGGGTAGCACAGGCGCACAGCACAAGCAGCCGGTGTCCCAGCGGGCTGTTTCTTGACACCTCTTCCAAGGTTGTGCTGGACGAGATGGTGTTGCTGCGAGACTCCAACGCCTTTTAGGGCTGTCAAGCTGTCCAATCTCACATCTCATGTCATGTCATCCATTGCTCACCGCTTTCCGTCTTCTTGAGGATGGAGGTGGTCAGCTACGAGAAACACGCGAGGTGAACTCGGAAGGATTCGAGATATACATTGATTGGGGGCAACTGACACATCAGATTTCAGTGACAGGAGGAGTTAGTGTTTGCTCGAGAGAGAGAGAGAGAGACCCCCGACGACAATCAGGGAATCCTTCATGGCGTTCGTCCCACCACCATCATCATGACCAGTCCGAGAAGCCCTTCGCACCCGGTCCCACGTGCTTATCAGCATGACCGGAATGCTACACACAAACCCAAATGGAATTACTTGCAGCCGGGCTGCAGAGTGTGCAGTGTGCAGTCGACGCAGCGAGAGAATGCGGTGAAGACGGGGCGATGCTACCCCAAGTCGTTGCGCCTGACAGACTCTCTCACATCGTTCATATCGAGAGCCCAACGGCAAGCTTGAACCGAACCGCTGCTCTGGGTCCAATGGTATCATCTGCCACAGTAGCACCTCGACTGACCGGCCACCGCAGCATGCCGCAGCTATCCACAAGAGTACGACAGTAAGAAACCCGTGGCATCTTTGCCGCACCCTGGCATAGACAGGATGGCCCTCGAGCCCTCCTCCGACATGTTGTCGACGGAAGACGCGGGATTCCATGTTGGTCGCGGCAGCCCTTGACCAAAAGGGTATAATCCTCCCCCCGTCCACATCACCACCACCACCACCACCGAGCTGTGACCCGTCACCCGGTGCCCATCACCCGTCCGGACCAACAACAAACTGTGACGCCTTCGGATAGCCCTAGCGCGAAATACCCCAATAGCCCTTCACGGTGATCCACCAATCCGCCTCTGCTCCCTGGCAGCATCCCTCCATGTGCATGCCAAAGGTGGGGTTGACGTTGTCTTTTGTCTTTGGATCAGAGCGAACGGCCAGGCCCACGTTCCCGGATGCTTATCTGAGAACAATAGAGCTACTTGACTATATGTCGCCATCGTCGGGGCATCACAACCCGACCGGTTTCACTATTTTCCCAAGTGCTATCTATCCTTGGCCCCTTTGGTGAGGACGTTGTTTGTCCCTTGACATGCATTGTCCCTGCACAGGGACCTTTCCGGCTACGTAGTTGACAGAGCCAAGTAGAGAGAAATAATAAGGAAGCCTTATCCTCCCAATTCCTCCCCTTTTTCACATCAACCATCCCCCACATGCCAAGCCATCGGACACTAGACGTTGACGCTAGGTAGGCATCTGGACCGCATATAACTTGGGACTGGTTCTCCCAGAGGCTTGCTTCCCGCCGTTACGATCCACCTCTCTCATTATCTGGGAACCAAAAAGACGTTGACACCATGGCGTCTGTAAAAGCGTTCCCCACCATCAAAAGTATCCGATCGTTCGTCATCGGCGGTGTGGGCTCAGGTATGTGGAATCCCCAAACGGCTGAGACAAAACTGCTGGCTAACCAGATTACAGGTGGCGATTACCACAATGTCAAAGGTGGTCATTGGTGAGGTGCTTTCTTTCAAAAAGCCAGCACCTTGGCAGCATTTCCTAACTTCAGTCCAGGCTCATAGACAGTCCAATTTCTACTCCATGCTCAAGATGGGAGAAGTACCGGGCATCACGGACGAGCTGGGGTATCAATGTTCTCGGCTCGTTCTTTGTCGAGATTGAGGCCAGCGATGGAACAGTTGGCTTTGCAACTGGCTTTGGTGGTAATGTCAACACTGCCCGCTTTTCTCCCACCGGAAATGGAGACTGATATTGTTTGCAATTGCAGGCCCTCCAGCGTGTTGGCTCGTCCATCAGCACTTTGAGCGCTTCCTGATCGGAGAAGACCCTCGCAACACAAACCACCTGTTTGAGCAAATGTACCGAGCGTCCATGTTCTACGGCAGAAAAGGTCTCCCCGTTGCCGTGATATCCGTCATCGACCTCGCCCTCTGGGACCTGCTCGGCAAGATCCGCGGCGAGCCCGTCTACAAGCTCATTGGCGGCAACACCAAAGACCGCATCGACTTTTACTGCACCGGCCCAGACCCCCCAGCCGCCAAAAAAATGGGCTTCTGGGGCGCCAAAGTGCCTCTCCCCTACTGCCCCGAAGAGGGCCACGTCGGCCTTAAGAAGAACGTCGAGTTCCTCCGCAAGCACCGCGAGTCAGTCGGCCCGGACTTTCCCCTGATGGTCGACTGCTACATGTCGCTAAACGTGCCCTACACGATCGAGATTGCCAAGGCGTGCGAGGACCTAAACATCAACTGGTGGGAGGAGTGCCTCAGCCCCGACGACACGGACGGCTTCAAGCAGATCAAGCGCGCCCACCCGACCATCAAGTTCACCACGGGCGAGCACGAGTACTCGCGGTACGGGTTCCGCAAGCTGATCGAGGGGAGGAACCTGGACATCATCCAGCCAGACGTCATGTGGCTCGGCGGCATGACGGAGCTGCTCAGGGTGGCCGCCATGGCGTCGGCCTATGATATTCCCGTGGTCCCCCACGCGAGCGGGCCGTACAGCTACCACTTTGTCATCAGCCAGCCCAACACCCCCTTTCAGGAGTACCTGGCCAACTCGCCCGACGGGAAGAGCGTGCTGCCCGTGTTTGGCGATTTGTTTGTGGACGAGCCGATCCCCACCAACGGTTTCTTGACGGCGGCTGATCTGGACAAGCCGGGGTTCGGGCTGACGCTGAACCCGGTTGCGAGGGCGAAGCTGATTCCGAGTACTTATCTGCTGGCTATTCCTACCAATTCGCTACCCCCACCGGTGAGTGAGGAGAAGAAGGAGGTTAATGGTGTCAATGGACGCCACGTGGAGGGGCAGTTGTCTGGGAAGGCCAAGGCTTGACCACCTCACGCCAGAGAGCTACATGATTGGATAGGAGTTTATCTTGGGGGTACTAGACATTGGATATTTCTTTTTCTTTTTTTTGTTTTTGTTGTCTGCGTTTTATTCTACCATTTTGAATATCAGTTTTGTTTATCTCTTCCATCCCACTGGCAAGCATGATCCTTGGGTATCCCGCAAGCCCGTTGTACTGACGTCATATCAACCGTCGTGAAGGTGTTGATGTTGCCCTCAAATCATGAAACAATACAGCCCAACAAAAGGTCAACCAGGTATCCGGATACTCTGTGCCGTGTGTCTCCAAAATTCATGCAATGTGATGAAGAGGGGGTTCTTTGTGTGTCCAAGTGGGATCATCACCTCGCTGTATTTAACCCCGAGCTGTGGGGTGGGGCAGAGGGGGGATGTGGATCCAGGATAAGAGGCACAGGAGCAGGGGTGATTGTCAGCTTTCATATGGGATCTGATTTTGTACCGCGAGCATTATTCCTGACATGAGGTAAGTGGTTGTTTGGGGGCTTTGCAGAGGGTGTGATGAGATTGTTGTTAGACACCGCGGACAAGGCTGCGGTGATGTGAGATATGGTGCCCTAGAGAGAATGGAGGTCAAGGGGAGAGGTTGCATCTAGGAATTTACCCCGCGAGCCGGACGGGATAATTGTGTGAATGGCAGCGACCCCCTCGTGGGTTTGCGTGTCAAGATGGAAGGTATGACATAGGTTGATCGTTGAAGGTTGTGTCACGGCACAGCTCACCTTTGCTTGCTCCTGACACCAAGAACTCACCTTTCCGACACCTGGTTGTGACCACCCACCATGCCCGCCACCAACCTCCTCCTCAACAGAACAGCCATCATCACCGGCGGCACCACAGGCATAGGCCGCGCCATCACCCTCGCCTTCCTCGCCCAAGGCTGCAACGTCGCCGTGAACCACCTCAACCTCCCCTCCGACACCGACCACCTCACCTCCCTCCTCTCCGAAGCCTCTTCCCTCCCCGGGAAAATAGCCCACCTCCCCGGCGACGTCCGCGACCCAACCACCGGCCCCGCCCTCGTCCAGTTCGCCCTCGAAACCTTCCACACCTCCCGCCTCGACATCTGTGTCTCCAACGCAGGCGTCTGCACATTCACCCCCTTCCTCGACATAACCCGAGACCTCTTTGACAAGACCGTCCGGACCAACCTCGACGGAGCGTTTTATCTTGTCCAGGCGGCGGCGAGACAAATGGCGACTCAGGAGCCAAAAGGGGGGTCGATCATCGGGATATCGAGCATCTCTGCCTTGGTCGGGGGGGCAGAGCAAGCGCATTACACACCCACCAAGGCGGGGTTGTTGTCTCTGATGCAGAGTGCGGCGTGTGCGCTGGGGAAGTATAACATCAGGGCTAATGCCATATTGCCGGGGACGGTGAGGACGCAGTTGAATGAGGAGGATTTGAGGGAGGGGGGAGACAAGCTGAGGTATATGGAGGGGAGGATCCCGCTGGGGAGGGTTGGAGAGCCGGGAGACGTGGCGGGGCCGGCGGTTTTTTTGGCGTGTGAGGAGTTGAGTGGGTATGTGACTGGGGCGCAAGTGCTGGTGGATGGGGGGTTGTTTGTGAATTTGCAGTGATGGATGGATGGATGGAATTGCTCAGGTGGGCGTTGAGTATCTCCATATTGGAGGCAGCTATCACAGGGGTGGAGGTTGTACAGGTGGTCTCGTTTAGTGTTATATTATTAACTTCCTGAAAGACAATGGACCCTGAATGAATGTCTTGAATTCGGAAAAAGATATTCATGTCATGGAGACCTCGGTGTTGGCCAGCTCACCTTACATGGATGGACCCGAGGCCACACCGCTCTTGGCTTCCTTCTCCTCACCGTTGATGGACCCAACACCAACGTGGCTGTCGCCAGCAAACGAGAAATTCTCTTTGAATGCGCGCAGTGGAGAGTTGGGAATTGATCCAGCGAATAATGCACGTCCAGATGACGCCCCTTATGCACAAAGATTTTCTCTTCGCTGTGGAATGCGCAGAATGTGGATGAAATGTGGGGGGGATGTCCCCTCCAGAAAAGGTTCCGTCATCGACAGGGCAGGGGGATGCAGCCGAGAATTTGGAGAGTGGGTCCGTGCCTGGCGCTGGTGTCTTGTTGGTGTTTGTGCTGCCCTTCCAGAACGCGGTCGGGTCGCACGTGTCGGTTGCGGTCGCGGTCGCGGTCAGGGTCAGGGCCATTGGAGGGCCATTACACCGGAACCAACAGAAGCCATTGGCTGTAAGGTGTTGGCTGGCTGGCATTGCCAACCTCCTCGAGACTCTCTGTCGAATTCCTTGTTTGCCCTTTCTCCTCATATTCCATCCAGCCCTCCAGTCACAAACAACACCACCCGTCAATCCACCTTCGTCATGTGTCCGGTCCATCGTGACAGCATCACCCACAATAGTCTTGGCTTTGACGGACCGGAGCGAAAACCCGGCTAGCGCACTGATAGCGCCGATAGTCTTTTTGACCGCCCCTGGCCACGGGTAGCGTTGTCAGAGGACTCCACCGGTTGCTTGGGAGTCCAGCGGGTAATTATTCATTCCATTTGGAGTTGATCAATATACTACAGACAGCAGGCCTGGGAACATCGCTGAAGCCATCGCCGGTCCGTGTCAGAGCCTGTCAAACACCCACTCACCTCAATCCATGCGCTTTTCTGCCGCGCCCGGGGAACCTCCTTGCCCAACACTCGCCTCTTTTTCCACCCCCAAGGACACCTGCACCTGTCATCCCGATCCGAAAGCGCGGTAGCGACTATGCTGCTACGAGTAGCATTTGCGTTGTCGTCCCCGTTACCACCACCACCACCACCATACTGTTACCGCCTTCCACCTGTTCCCGTATAAACCTGGCATGGCAACAAGCCCCTACCCAAACTCCGATCCGCCGCAGCCTCCCCCGCCGCCGAGAGACACAGACACAGACACAGACACAGGCACGGGAACAGGCACAGGCACTGACGACACTACTGATAATACTATGGGCATCGTCGACGTCGTCGGGTCCTCGCCGCCGGGCGATGACATCCGGTGCTGCTGCGGGAGAGAAGACTGTGTATATTTGAGACACAACTGCTCGGTGCTGCTGAGCGTCGAGCGGGATGTCCACGCGGCAGCCAAGATGGGGCAGGTACGTTGTGCGGTTTCCCTTTCGTGCTTCCCGCCACATTCCACTGTGACACCTTCTCTTTCACCCTCTGGTTTCCTTTGTGTGTGCCTGCTGCCGTCTTTTGAGTGGTCATCGTGTACCTGTCTGTCATGTTGCCAACTATGCCTTCTGAAGAGAATCTCTCGTTTCTCTTCTGCACACCACCATGGATGACCCAGACGAGACAGCCCTGACGCAGGAGCCAGACCCAGAGCTCGAACTCGAACTTGAACTCGACCTTTACTTCCCTTCTCGAACGCTAACATGGTCGCTCCAGACGCTCCTCGCCCGCCACGAAGCGTACATGGCCTCTGCAGAGAGGGACAGAGCCGAGCTCAACGCCCGAATTGAACAGCTCGAAGCCGAAAACGCTGAACTCGAACGAAAAAACCGCGAGGTCAACCACGACAACCACAATCTACGAGACGAGTTGGACCACCTGAACGATACTGTCAAGGATGCAGACACAAAGATAGAATTTTTGGAAAGGACGCTACGAGATGCACAGCGCGAGGTGCGACGGCTCGAAAGCGCAGCGCAACGAGCGGCCAGTCTGGAGAGGCAGATTGAACTGTTGGAGGAGGAACAAGCCACGCTACAGGCCGCCGTCATCACCACGAAAGACGAGGCGCGGACGGCCATACACCGTTGGAAACAAGCTGAGAAGGGGCTCAGTGACTTGCAAGCACAGTTGGAACGAATGGAGAAAGAGGCGAGGGAGGATCGAGAACGACATGTTGAAGTCATCAGCCGCATGGAAAGGCAGCGTCTCATGGAGAAGGAGCTCAACACAGCAGCTGGGAGGCTCAAGGGCGCCGCCGCGGTAAGGTCAATGACTGATAGTAAGAACAGCGGCAACGTCGTGTCTCACTTTGTGCGCGACCTCTTGCAGGACAACGCCAACCTGCAGCTGGGAATGGCTGAACTCCGCGAGATGCTGGTCAACTCCAACGACGAGATTCAGATGCTGCGGGAGCAGCTGCTGTGTCACCAGCCAGCACCACCGCTAAACGATTTCGAGAGAGAACCCGAGACACCTGCGGAAGAAACGCCACAAGCCGGCACCTCGCCCCAGTCACTCCGGGCCGAGCTGGAGGGACACGAGCAGCCACCGCCTCGAATCACGCAGCAATTACATATTCACCACCATTACCACGTCACCCACAAGCAGGAACTCAAGAGGATGAGAAAGAAGCGACAAGGGATATCATCTGGTACCTTCACTCCACCCAAGATGTATTCTGCCCCTTCATCACCCGTCACATCGTCCATAAGATGGCATCGGGGTCCCGTGAATGGGAACCATGAGCCACCAACACCTTCAGAACACCATTGGTCTCGACAAGATGACGAGAACCCATCAGAGTTTGGACATTCGTCAGAGATCAGCTCCCCACGGTCGTCCAACAACCGCAATTCCGTATTTGACCGCATGGTGGACGTTTCTTACCCCACATCGCCCACGACAAGCCTGGATCCAACATCACCAGCATGGAAGACCGCGCATCGAAAGAGAACCTCGGAGTGGTCCATGTTTCCGATTGACGCATCCTCTACTTGGAACGGCCCGCCACCAACCAATCCACACCCGCTAACCAACTTTGTCCGTTGCGGCGAGCGCTCTCCCAGCACTCCGAGACGCGTCCAAGATGACGGGACACAGACCTACTCCGACGCCGGCAGCACAGACGCAGGGGATCTCATCTCGCCACACTCCAAACACTTTGATTCGCAAGTATTACAACGCCCGGGTGGCAGGTTACGCCGTGTGACCTCGCAGGAATCCATCATGTCCTTGTCCAACGGGATGGATATTCACACGCTGCAGGCGCGACCGAGTCAGCTGGCGTTGAAGCCCCTGGGTTTGAGCGCTGCGGGGACGAATCTCAGCGAGGTTATTGCTTCACCTACCCTGACGAGTGGGAGCAGTGATGGGAAGAGGGGAAGCGTCTTTTTGATGGGTAACCTCGCGAATCAGGTGAGGCAACCTGCCAATCGGACCGTGTCGACGCCTACACGGTCGGGCAACGAACGATTGCATCCAGGGATCAGGAGGACGCCTTCTGCGTTGGGGCGGTTGGTTTCATGGAGGCCGTGGGGGGGGAACACTGCGCCTACGTCTCCTGTTGCGACGCCACCACCACCGCCGCCTACTTTGATTGCGACTTCTACGGCGATTCCGGCGTTTGGGCTTGCGGTGACGAGCCCAACGGTTTCGGTTTCTAGTGTGCCCAAGAGTCCCGAGGGGAGCGTGAGTTCTTCGGGGACTTTTAGGGGCACGGGGATCAACCAGAAGGGGGTGATTCCGGGGTTTAATGAGTATTGGGCTAAGCATCAGGTTTTGAGGCGGCCGACGAGCAAGGTTTGCTTGGAGGGGGACAGGTTGGGGGCTGTGGAGGAGGGGTTGAGGGAGGCGTTGGAGCCGATGGTGGAGGAGTGATATTATTAATTTATTTTTTTTGCATTGCATAAAGGAGTTTATGGGGGGTTATATTTGGAAAGGGGGGTATGATTTTTTGGACGGGGCAGGTGATTGGGGGCGGGAAGGGGGAAGGGAGTGTATATAAGAGCCTGATATCCGAGGCGTGCTTTTGGAGGGCCTGTTTCAACAGATATGTTGCTAAGAGGGGATGATTGGGGTGGCCTTTTCTTTTTTTCTTCTTTTTTTTTGTTTCTGAGTTTTTCAACAAAGTTGCATAGCCATTGGATTGGAGGATTGAGTTGGGTGATTTGAGTGATGATGGAGTGGATAGGATAGTTGGTTTGCATGGTGTACACTATACCCCCTTTGATGGAAGAAGTTTGATTTATACTGGGGAGGAAGGAAGAAGAAGAAAGAAATGTGTATATATATTCGGGCTGGTCGGACTGACATTCATTACTTTTTTGTTTTTGCTTGGGAGATGGGAGGAGGAGTATTCTTTACCCCTACACCTGTTGTAATCATTATCTGGAGATGTTCAGAGGCAGAGAAAGCAGCATAGTTAAGGGGGAATTGAAGAGGGATCATATCGAGTTTAATTAAGAGAGTTGTCGTGCTGTGATTGTGTGAGATGGAGTGTGAGAACTATCGATCAATTGGGGAAGAGGGAGGATGTTGATGGTATGTTGGGAGGTTGGAGATGTGCTACGTGTGTTTTTTGATGTCGGGTGTTCCTTTGGGTTTGAGTTTGGGAAACCTGACTTTGTCTCGGACTAAGAGCTTGATTTTTGACTTTTGACTACCACTTTTGACTAAGGCTAAGACCGAGACTACGACCGGGACTAAGACCGGGACTAAGACACCATGGACTGTAGACCACAACTTTGACTAAAAATTAGACCATGATTTTGACTTTAGCCAAGACCCAAGGTATGTATGTATGACCTTGAGCAGATCTGGACTACTAGGTAACAACCTAGATTTTGACCAAGATCAAGACCACCTTAGGTATCACTGGACTTTTGACTTTGATTATGACCTTGGATTTTTAGTTCAAGACGCCAGGGAGGAATTCGGTGCCCATCAACATCGGTTTGGATGGAATAGAAACCTTGCGGCCAGAACATGAGAGATCAATAATCCCTTGATACGAGCAAGTTGGAAGATACCCAACAGTGAACATTGTTGAGCACTCTCAAGTTTAGATGTCCAGAATCTCGCAATTCCTTGTTTGGACGCTATTTCCATATTGATGACAAGCCCTCCCTTCATTCAGCGTCTCGCAGCATCAACAGTGTTTGTCCACAGTGTGCGGTAGACACAACCCGGATACGAGACCCGGCAACAAACCAAACGGTCCAGACCCCAGCTGACCCCCACGCAAAAAAATCTTCATTCATAATTACACCAAAAAAGTTCAACTTTGTCTCACAATTCGGATATTTCCCCCAGGTCATTATACCCGAAGCGGCTCAAGTATTGGCAAAGATCTGCCAGCCACGCCTCCAACGGCAGCTCACCAGCTGAGTCTCTCAATGCAGGATAGTACATGAATATCAATGTCCCACTCAACCATTGGGCTGGAGAGCCATGGCATCCCCTGTCAGGGGTTAATGTTCAAAAATGTGAGGAATGGCCGCTTCGCTCGAGATTTTGGATTTACCTCCGTGACAGCACACAAAACCTAGGCGCCGCCCTTCCGTTCCCATTCCTCGCCAAGGATCATGAAGTTGGGAGAAGGATAAGATCCACTATTTTGCGCGACAACAAGGAGGGTATTGACAGTGGGAGCTTGGGGTGAAAAACTGGCTGTCGTTCGGTCGTCACTCGTTCACCATGATTGTAACCAAATCCCCAACCATGGGCCCCAGCATCAGCGACCTGTTTTCTCCTCGGCGGGCGCGGGTTTGGGTCGCCTTCACGCTGACTTGCGCCCTGCTGTTGTTTCTTGCGCGCCAGAGGGGGGCGGCAGCGGAATGGAACGCCGGGCAACAGCCACCGCCAAACTCGGTCGCAGCTCCAGACGAACAGGGGCCGAAGGAGGTTCATGAAGATGAGGTCGACTGGTCCAAGTTCGCCTATCTTCAATACGTAACCAACAGTCACTACCTCTGCAACTCGGTCATGCTCTTCGGGCAGCTGCATCAGCATGGCAGCAAGGCGGATCGTGTGATGATGTACCCGGAGGGGATGTTCAACCTTGAGGTTTCTGAAGCTGCAGGGAGGGGCAAAGGCGGGAAGCGTCATGATATCGAGCTGCTGAACAAGGCGAGGGATGACTTCAACGTCAAGTTGGTACCGGTATCGGTGCAGCATAGAGCCACGGCGGACTGTATGTTGTCGCGCTCGACAAGAGACCCCTTGTTCATACGTTAACTGACTGCATTTCCAGCCACATGGGCCGAGTCCTTCACCAAACTTCTGGCCTTCAACCAAACACAGTATTCTAGGGTTCTATCGCTGGACTCGGATGCTGTGTTGTTGGGGTCTGTAGACGAGCTGTTCACCCTTCCGCCGTCTCCAGTCGCGATGCCACGGGCATATTGGCTGTATCCCGAGGAAAAGAAGCTAGCGTCCCATATCCTGCTTGTCGAGCCAAGTGCGGAAGAGTTTGAGAGAGTGTTGGACGCCACAAACAAGGGCGGTGAGGACGAGTATGACATGGAGATCCTCAACACGTTGTACCAGGATAGTGCCATGGTGATCCCACACAGACGGTATGCTCTGCTGACGCAGGTGTTTCGTTGGGAGGATGGCGAGCATGCCAAGTACTTGGGGAGTGATCGCGAGGAGTGGGACCCGATCGAGGTGTTTAACGAGGCGAAATACTTGCACTTTTCGGATTGGCCGCTACCAAAGCCATGGCTGGGGGCGGCCGAGGACTTGCGGCAGAGGCTCGAGCCGAAATGTCGCGACAAGGACGGCGTGGAGTCGTGCGTCGAGAGGGACATTTGGAACGGGATCTATCGGGATTTTCATGAGAGACGTCAACGTGTTTGTGGCTATTTGATCGATCCACCAGAGGGGTGACTGCACGGGGACACACTGACAGTGGCTTGATTCAGAAAAGGATTGGGTCGGAGCTTGGGCGATCATGAGTGGAGTTGACGGGATAGAAAGGGCCCAGATCAAAATAATTGAGAGAACTTTCACATGGCAGTTCCGTCCCACGAACAATGAAACCAGCAGCCTTTCGGACGTCAAAGCGATGACAGAGGCGGGCTGGCTTGAGTCTTCAAATCTTTACCCCTGACCCATCCAGCACACACGCGCATCAGATCGACAAACGACGCTGCCGGGACGGTCCGATGTTGCGATTGCCGCCTTGGCCCAATGCTTGATTCAATCATCGAACGACTTGCTATCTGACTGCGACTCTAGTTCATGCCAGGAACCACACTGAACCGATACATCGGGTTCGCCAAGTCAATTACTGTTACGAAACCCGGAATGGCAACGCACGACGGGATACATTTCCCATGAGAAACACGACCTCACCTTTGTCGACCACAATTCCGAGGACGAAACTCTCCGCTGGCTGTCAAAGCTCCCACACACACATGTACGACAGTCTTTTTCGGCCCAATGGGATTCTCTCCTCGAGCCTGTGCGCTGAGACATCACCGTTGTCCCGTCGGGCGGCCCACAGCGCAATGCAGGCACATGCAGAGACCGATGCTCACAATTACCTGGCGACCCCCAGTGTCCGTGACACGGCAAGTGGATGATGCCCATCCGGCAAGCCTACCTAGAACTGCCGGGAGAAAGCTGGTCCTGTACGGCAATGTGCCGCGTCACGCCTTGTATCAAGCATTCCACACATCCCAAGAGGAGAGTGCCAGGAATTCGTTGCGTTCAATGGTATTCAAGGGCAGCTCCATGCTCGTATACACGCCGTCTCCCTTTCAACCATTCATAACATTGCTTTCAGCGAGCTCCCGCCATCAGCCAGACTATCATCACCACAAGCAAACCCTCACTGACGCCGTTGAGATGATGAATGATGATCACCAGTGCGGCTGTATGGCTTCCAGGCGATTGAGAGGTCGCATGCATTCACAGATGAGGTCCTCACGCGAGAGACATGCCCATATCCGACAGTCTCAACCCGCAGTAGGGCTCCTGTGGGGAAGTCCTGATGTCGATCAGGGGGGGAATCGGCTAGGAAATTTCAAGTTTGAGTGAAGGGACAATAAGAATAAAAGGGTCACTTCTCTCGGGCCGTTTTCCTTCTCATTCCTTATTTCATCATCACACTCACGCTTTTTCTACCCACACTCTCTTACAATAACAACAGCTCAGAGTCGGTCAACATGCGCTCCTTCATCCCTCTCCTCACCCTCACAGGGTTGTCAGCGGCGGCTACCCTGAGACCTATCAGACAACGCCAACCAGTCTTTGACGACCTGGTAGATACTTTGAGGGGTCCAAACTCCGACTCTCAGGGATGGATCCCCGATCCTTGGAACGACCGGGTTTCCTCCACCACGAACGGTGCGGCCACTCCCACCGACGTCCCTACTGTCGATGTCCCAGCCACGGTTCCAGATGTCACAGACGGTGGCGACAGCGATGGCGATGATGGCGGTGACGACGGTGGTGACGCTGGTAACGACGGTGGTGATGGCGGCAATGATGGTGGTGATGGCGGTGACAACGGGACGGACGACGGCACGGACGACGGCACCGGCAATGGACCCAACACCCCAGTTGCTCTGCCTAACATCCCTGGCGGCGACAACGGTGGTCCCATAACCCTTCCCGACTTCACCGGCGGCAACCCTGACGGTGACGATGACGATGATTCAACCATCACCGTTCCTGATCTTACTGGCGGCGACAGCACTGATGGCACCGACGGTACTGGCCTCACCGATGGCACTGATCTCACTGACGGCACCGACCTGAACGATGACACTGACGGCACCGCTGACGGCTCGGTCACCATCCTCCCCGCCACCCCCCTCACCCCCGAAACCCCCATCCCCGTCATCACCCGCCCCATCAACGGCAGCGTCCCCATCCGCTTCCCCGCCGCCGGCCAAGCCGAGAGCTGCCTCTCCGACCAAGCCGCCGAGGTCATCATCGACGCCTATGTCCGCATGATCTCCAAGTGGAACGACGAGGACGCCTACTACCTCTCCGACAACTTCTACGACACCTCCGACTCGATCAACTCCCTCGCTGGCATCCCCTTGGGAACCGTCACCTTCCCTAGCAAGGAGGCGTTCATTGAGCACCAGCATGTCATGCCTGATAACCTCCCCTTGATCATCACCCACAAGATTGTTGACTGGTATGTACCCTTTGTTATGTGATCAAGATACTGTTACTGACTGTGGGATAGCGCTGAGATCACCCTAATCTGGACTGCTACTTTTGTCGTGCCCCATGTTCAAGCCAAGCCTGTCAGGGGTATTGCTATTCTCAAGACCGTGGGCGAGTTGGAGGATACCGAGTCGGAGCATGTCAAGGGGCAGAATGACTACATCTGGAAGATTGGGGGGCTCGATGTCGAGTTTAACAACATCGCTTATTTGCAGAATATTGGGGGAAGCTGTGAGTTTCCTACCGGGCCTTAGAGGGTCAGAGAGGAGATATGATGGGATGACATCATGATGGGTTCCAGTGGGCAGTGATGGCTTGCCATGGATGATACAAGGGGTGATGGATGGGGGAGAAGGGGGCTTTCGATTCTAGCTGGGATATAGTTTTCGGATAATGAGGTTTAATTTTACATTCGTGGTGATGCCTGTGATGGTGATAAGATCCTTCGTCGTGTGGCGTCCTTGCATTCGTCATCCTTTCCGGTCCCAGAAGTCTAACAATTTTTTTCGGTGGCAGCGCCTGGAGAGGCTGGTCTGGTTTCCCCAGGCAACCTGATCTGTCGCCACCAAAGTGCCAAAACTTTTCTGCACCTACAGCCAGTCCCGGCACGGAGAAAGCCCTGGTCAGCCTGTTAAATGTGGGATTGCTAAAGCCGTACCCCTCACGCTTTCGACAGAAAGATAGAGGCTGCGACAAAAATTCAAGAGCTCAACGATCGATAGGTAGTCAAACACGCCTCTCGACCATTCTTTGAGACCTATAATAAACGCTCCAGGACCTTTTTCTAGTATTCAAAAGACTCTATGAATTATCTTTAAATGCATACCGATTATCCTTCAAGGCCTGTTGACTATGTTGGAGAGAGAAGCCATGTTACCGGGCAGGTGAGGTAACTGACTCGCCTATAGCTCTGCGTAAAAAAAAGCAACAAAATCGTCAACTCCCCGAGGCTCATTTATCCAATGTCCCCCACCACCATATTCATGCCATTCAACATCAAGAAACCCAAATTTCTTCAAAGTATCCCACATTCGTGTGCCGTTCTTTATGGCTATGACGGCGTCGTCCTGACTGTGTTCAAGCAAAATGGGCGTTGAGGCGAGCTGTGGTACCGGTGCTGGTAGGTCTTTTCCCTTCGCTTGAATAGAGGGGTGTTGCAGGATGGTAAACCGTCCGATGAGATCCGATTGTTGGTGGGCTGCAGATGTGGCTTCATCCACCAGCGGGAACCAGCTGCAAAACCCATAGAGGCCGGCAAAACCTCCTCTCCCATCAGCAATACTGCATGAGAGACAGAGAAGGGGACACCTAGGAACGAACATACATAGCAAACCCCTGGCTTATCCCACCTAAAAATATTTTGTGTCTGGGCAGAAGCTTTTCCTCATGCTTGACAGTCTCGAGGATGAGATCAACACTCGATTGTATGCCTGACACCTGCAGGCCGTTTCGTTCTTGCAGATTCTCCAGGGCCCACAATATAAGTTGACGACGACATTTTGCTGTACTAAGAATTTGTGAGCAAAGTTGATGATTTTTCCGGAAGTTTGGGGATCAGATCTCGACGTGTGCAAAGTCAGGTAACGTTACCTGAGGTAGGTACGTTATATAAGGTAGGTAGGTACCTTATCTTAATTGTTGTGTTGGTCAGGCGCCTGTCTGAAACCTTATTCTTGAACGGCGGCTTTGTAGCCACCTACGCAGAAATCACATGTAGTGTTTAGTCAAATACCTTATCTCACTGGCAGCCAATGAACTGCAAAATATATGGAGCTTGCAGGTTTTGAACACAGTCTTGTCCTGTGGCCGATGAACTGCTGGCTACAAAAGAAGGCTTTCTATACAATAGTATGAAGCACGCATTAAGAAGCAACTTTGGCGCATAATTTCAGCTAAAAGAATACCTGTTCCAGCTCATAGTCTACGGCCGGAAACAATGGAGATTAAATGAATCAGTCGAACACTTATCACCCTTTATCTCCTCGCAGTACTCACCATCCTTTTTCCTAATAGAAAAGATTTTTTATTGCTCTTTCAATCTATTCCCTCCTTGAACTTGAATCCAAACGATCACTCCTTTATCCAACACCCCAAAACAAAACCTTCACATTAACCAACAAACCCCCAGTACAATTCCTCCGCAAGATTCAAGGCAAACCAAACATGACACTCACAAAAACCCAGTTCAACAGCCTCAGCGACGCTATGATCGAGTATCATCTCGATCACAAGGAGAAATATCGAAACATGATACTGAAGTGGGCACGAGAGCTTGACGAGGTGGAGGACCTCGACGCCTGGGCGTCACAAAAAGGCTGGATTCAAGAAAAGACGGGGGAGCCGATCAAGAGATAGCAAGAGCCAAGAATATCATGCACTCCTGTTACTCGAAGCTATCAGTGGACTAACAGTTCTTACCGCAACTGTGTAGTGCGATGTTCTCAGCTTATGTGCGGTTCGTATGCGACGTTTTCGTATATCACGAGGCGGAAGCGGAGAAGTGGAAGGCGTTGAAAATGTGAAGTCAAAGAGCAGCTGGGTCATCTGGCAGCTACCTCGTGAGTTGAGAGGTTGGATGAGGACGAGTATGGGTGGGTGGGGGTTGGTGGCAAACAGCAAAGGCCAAGTGCTACAGAAAATACCTTTTCTTCCTTCTTCAAGTTCCATGTCAGTATTCTTGTCTGCCAGTATGGATCAGACATACTGAAGGTGTAAGAGAAAGTTGTGAGAAACGGGTATACGATGACTGGTGAAGCAAAGTCGGCCATGAGAGCTTCAAGGTGCTGAACTCAACAAGTGCAAGTTACCTCATCGAGAGATGATGCGATGTTTGGAGACCATGTATTTCTCTTGCCACTCTCCCTTACACCTTGCAGGCCCGGCTACCTGCATTTAGCCCTCTCGGATGATCTTGAACATCTGGCTAGCTGCTCTGTGAGAGAACAAAGTACCGCGGTCTGAAGAGTCAATGGTGCCGAGCTTAAGAAGTGGGAGGCACTGAAAGCCAAAGATAGGTGCTATACCCACCAGACTCAGTTGATGATCTAATATTGCAGGTGTCTGTGTCACTATGTGGCGGAGGATACGAGTGGCTCGCCGGCAAGACGGACGGAAGACGGGCTCCAGGGGTCAGGGGTCATTGGCCTCGGAGACAAAATCTGCGATGTAATTGTCTCTTGGATTGTGACTGGTCGATTGGAGGAACTTCTGCTGTTCCTGAAGATCAGAACATAAATTTTGAGAGATTCCGCATTGCATTGGGGCCGCAGTATGTCGACAGAGGCCACTGGGGGGAGCTGAAACACTGGTGATCCGAATGTTTGGGTGCCAGGTTGGCATGCGGTTCTTGCCACTTTCTGCGGTTCAATAGCTGCATCATATCTAAAGTATGAAACGAATACTTCTTTTTCCAGATGTCTGAGGCGGCCTGCCTTGGTATAGGTAGGTTGTGAGAGAGACCTTAATTATGCATCAAGGTGGAGTGAGAGACCCGTTAATTGCATGGACACCCATCAGCTGCCTTATCAATCCCAGAGATAAGCAAAGCTCAGGTAATTTTGGACCCCGTGATTTTTTCACCTGACTGCGCCCATCGGTTTGGTGATTTTGAGGTAAAAGTTTGCGAGTTCGATAATATTCCCGCTAGCAAAGAATGTCGTTTCAAATAGTCACACTACAGGGTGATGCTGTGGCGGAGGTTTCCCCAGGTTTTCTCTGTCCATGGCGTTGTCGATCACAGCGGGAGGGATGGAAATTCCCCCGCATTTTTGCCATTTGCCAGGCGGGCATTGCCTGCTTGTTACTCTCCCCCCCGAAGAAGTGAAGTGCCGGATGGGTCATGGACTGATTCCCGGGAGTGGAAAGATGGTTCATATATGTACTCCGTAAACCAAGCTGGAAAATGCACACGCTCTGGGCTGACCCAGGCCGTGGGGAGCGGTCAACCACAGCAGTGGGCTAATGCAAGGTACAGTTTGCCATGGACGCCCCCTTGTGACGACCCTGATGATTCTTCAGGTCTGCAACTGAAAGGGAGACGCTGCCGACGGCCGATGAAGGTGCTGGGCCGGCCGCTGTCAGATGTTCAAATCAATGCCAAGTGGAAAGAGGAAAAGGACAACAAGTCACGGGATCGGGATCGACCCGCCAGCTGCAACGGGCCGTCTCGATGATTTTCATCTGCATAACTGCATCCTTCAAGAATCGATTTTAATTTAGCGTGGATCTGGCGCCCGCTGAAGCTTAAATCAACGGGCCGTGGCCAAGGGGTCCACGGACTGTGGTGATGGCAGCGACAGCGAGGCAGCACAACCAAAGATGCCCAACAGTGATTGCTGCCAACCAAGGCCTGACAAATCCCTGCCAAACGTGGCACCGATATTGCGTGCCGTGATCCCGCTGATGTCAGGAGGTTTTTTCGGCGCTGGCTGCCGACGAACTTCCAGCCCTTCCACGTGTGATGCCATTGTCTCTGCTCGCTGCTGCCATTGTCAACGCTCCTGTTCACCAACCCTTTCGAAGGAGGGTAGCCAACGGCAGTTAGTTTACATTGAAGCTCGTCCAGACTGGCCGTTGGCCGATGCGTTATGAGGCTGCCCAAAGCTGCATTTTCCAACTGCTCTGCTGGGTGCTGGGGCCAACCATGACCAACAACCTGGAAGAGAATTGGAATCTTTGACGATTGATGACAGGTGAGAGAGGCTAATCGAGGGCCAAGGCCTCGTTACTGCAATAGCTGCCTGACCATGATGCATGAGTGCCTCATTCGCCCGAATGCCAAGGCAGCCGTGATGTCTGGTATCAAAAATACGCGGGCAGCCAGGCCAGGGCGTGCTAGAAACTGCGCAGTGCAGAGGCTTCGTCCCAGGAGAGTGTGACAGGACCATCCCCAATCACCTTGCTTGCTCTTGTGCTCTCCCCCCCCCATTGCGCTCAAGCGACGCCGAAAATTCAAAATTCCCAACCCCCATCCCCCATCCTCCTCTCTTCCTTTCCAGCTGCCCTACCCCATACCGCACTGGTCCCTGCTCGCCGATTCCTCCAACATCTACCTTCCCCCGAGCCATGTCACTTTGATGGTCCCCGTGTCGCCGCGCCGACATATCCCATCCAGCCGCATTGGCCCAGCAGTCGCGGGTGAGCCACTGAGGACGACAATTGCCTTGCGCCGACCACCAGAACAGCACCGCCGCCGCCGAACCACTACCACCACCAGCGCGACTCCAACGACCCTGACCCCATAACTCAAACCAACCTCTTCTCCTTCAACCCCTTCCACAACCACAACCACCACCACCACCGCCTCCAGCGCCCACCAGCTGCCAGAACCTCTTTGTGGCCCAGCCCCCTCCCCTCCCCGATCTCTGGCTGAGTCTGTTGTCGGTCACGGTCTGCTGCTCCATCGCGATCGTTGCGTTAAGGTCGCAGCACTTGTCCCCGACCGTGTCACGTCTGCAGTTCGTCTGCTTCCTCCGCTTCCGAAACACCTCCGAACTGGCTTCCGCTCCCACGTCTTCAATCCCCGAGACGCCCACCGCCTGCCGGGTCTAAGCGCACCGCGTGCCACAGGTGGCGACCGAGACATTCAATTTGCATCTCGGATCAACCGCTTGCATCTTCACCCGCAGCAGCAGTCACCTACCTAGTCGTATCCACCCGGCGATATCGCACCCTCATTTTCTTCACGTCACCACAAGCCACGCGAAAAACACGCTACCCGACCCGAGCAGACACCAGGTCTGCTCTCCCTCCCGCCTGAACTATGAACAACATGGCAGGCATGGCAGGCATGGGCGGCCCGGTCAACGCTCCCATGGGCATGATGAACAATGGCGGGCTCGCGCCCCAAGTCGCCCAACGCCATGGCTCTGACCAGCACAGGACGCTGCTCAACACATACATCTACGAGTACTTCATCCGCTCTGGCATGTGGGAATGCGCCCGTGCTGTCCTCAACGCCGACAGCGACATCAACGTCAAGAAGCAAAGTCCGGGGCATAGCAACGGTCTCGGCGACGACCCCATGGACACAGACTCGAAGGACCTCCTCGATAAGCGACCAGACGACCTGCCCGCGCCTAACGTGCCCGTGCATGTCAACGAGAGTTGCTTCTTGTTTGACTGGTTCTCTCTCTTCTGGACCATGTTCTCGCATCAGAAGACTCCCGGCCAACCCGGAGGACAGATTGTCAACCAATATGTTCAACATACTCAGGTACGGTGATATGTGGCTTCTGCCCAGGGCTTGGCTAACGCGATCATGTAGGCACAATCTCGCATGAAGCAAGAAGAACAGCGAAACCTGCTGCGCAACATGCGTCCCGATGCGTACAATCAGCAGCAATACCAGAACCACATGATGCGCATGCAAAATGGCGCCGCCATGAATATGGGTGTGAAGCCGGGCAACAACCTCCAGAGGGCCGCCATGGCCAACAACCAAAAGTATGTTCTGCACCTCTCTTCCATCTTGACTTGCCACTGCGGGACAGCGTGCTAATCCATAACCCGATAGCCCTCAAACGATGCAGATGCTCCAGCAGAACAAGGTCGCCGGCCAGATGCAACGCGACCCCTCCGACATGGAAGGCAACCGGGTAAGGCCTGGATCGCCAGCGTCGGCCGAGAATGCGCCATCCCCATCCAAGAGACCGCGCCTTGACGGCGGCGCCCCGTTTAATCCCCAAGCGGGCGTCATGATGCCGAACGGGAGACCGCAGGGCATGCCGGGTCAGCAGCAGGTAGGAAACGGCCCCGATTCAGCACGAGCACTACTGCTTCAGAATGGCATCAACCCAACGCAGCTGAATCCTGACCAGCTCCAGGCCTTCATCTCTGCCTCTCCACACGTACAAGCAAAGTCTCTTGCCACGTACTCGGCTAACCTCCAACAGCACCATGGCAACCAGATGCCCAACAAACCCATGGCAAACGCCGTCGGTCCACAAGGCCAGGGCTCCCCGATGGTACCCCAAGGTCCCGACGCCCCAACTCTGAACCAATACTACAATCCCAACGACATGGGCGCCGCCGGCATGAGGCCCGTCCAAGGCAACGGGCAAGCGACGGGCGGTAGCAACCATGCGTTGCAGGACTATCAGATGCAGTTGATGCTGCTCGAGCAGCAGAATAAGAAGCGGCTGATGATGGCTCGCCAGGAGCAAGATCTTGGCACCAACAACATGCCTCGCCCTGACGGACCCCCCGGCGGACCCCCAGGACCCAATGCCCAAGGCTTCCAGCAGGGCACTTCCCCGCCAGGAGGCCGAAGCGGTGCTTCCCCCAACCCCGAGCAGATGAAGCGCGCCCAGCAGATGAACAACGCTGCCAACATGGGCGGCTCTCCCCTTCCCGACGGAGCGGTCCAGTCCCGAAGCTCCCCGAACGCCATGAACTTTATGGATGGCAACAACATGGTTCCCAACGGAGGCCCGCAGTTTATGAACATGCAGATGAACGGTGCCGGCATGCGCCCTCCAAACTCGCACCCGAACCCGCAGTTCAACCCCCAACAGCAGCTGGCTCACCAGCAAATGATGGCGCAGCGCCAGGGGCAGGCCATGCAGGGTCCGGGAATGCAGTGGGCTCCAGGCGGGCCTAACGGACAACTCCCCGGCCAAGGACCTCCTCCTCAGATCCAAGGAACACCAACTCAGGCGCAGCGGACGATGGGCCCCCCATCGGCGCCCAATGTTGCTGCGAACGCTGCAAACTCTCGCAACGCCACATCGTCACCCCAAGTGAGCACCGCCGCCCCCCCTACCCCACAGGCTGCCAATAAGCCTGCGCCGAAGAAGAAGGAAACCAAGAATTCCAAGGCCAAGGTAGGCCGCTATTTCCTGGATTCCAGACTTGTGCCTCCCTTTGGCCGGACGTGATGCTAACAAACAAAAGACCGCACAGAAGAAGACGAACAATAACCTCAACAACACGGCGGCCACGCCTGCCGGCGACGAGAATGCGCAGGAGGCGCCAACACCAGCGACGCCCATCACCCCGTCGAACCCGGCCAACTTTGCAAAGAACCAGAACATCAACGCTGGTCCGGTGGTTCCCAACGGCCAGCCAGCTGTCCAACAGCCTCCTCCCCAAGCGCCACCAGTGGCCGCCCCTCAACATCAGGATCCTAACAATTTGTACATGGATACAGGCGCAATGGTAGGGGCCCCTAGATCTTCCACACACCCCTCGGTCTGCTAACATAATTTGTCAGGAATACCCTCTTGGATTTGCCGACCCCACGCAGTCTAACGACGTTCCTGACCGATTTCGACTTTGATTCATTCCTTCACGACGGCGCCAACGGCGATGACGGTGTGGGAAATTTTGACTTTGGCGGTACAGGTTTTGGTATGGACGACGGGACGAACACGATTGGCACGGCGGATTAGGATCTCGCTCTGCTCATTCAACACACACCATAAGGGCCCCGGAGTCCTGCGAAAGTCGTATGTACGAGCTGAGGTGCTTTATCCAGGCCCTCTCAACGCGAGTACTCTCAACCAGCCTTGGTTGTCTTGGTCAGGATCAGTGAGCCATTTGGGGCTCATGATTCCCATGGTCGCCTTTCTTCTGGTCTATACTCTCTCGATATCGGCAGTTCTTCAAGGCTCTTTGTTTATTCGGTTTTATACATGCAGCAGCGATTTACAATCACGCTCTTACTCTGCAACTCTCAGCACACCATGGGTTCTTTCAGAGTCAACCGGTCATATTTTCTTTTTTCGGTAGTTGTTTCTCACCCCTTGTCTTTTTAAACATTGAGAAGGAAGTAAATGGTTTATTTGAGCTGGGATGCGTATGGGTGCGGGTCGGTGTCCTGGGTTGGCTTCGCATGCATGGGGTGTCGGTCCTCACTCTGCTTTTGTTTCTCTTTCTCTGGTGTTTACTTTTTCTTTTTTTTTTTCGACTGTCCCATCTTCAAACAAACGCACTTTTCCTTTCTTGTCTTTTTGCTGTGTTTGTTTATCTGACTTTTTGTTTGGTGGTGGAATAAGCGTTGGACGGAAGACTGGGGTTGGTAGCGACGGGGGAGGCAATGGATCTAGGAGATCCTTTTAATACCACATACACTATTTTTGTGTTCTTGTTTTTCATTTTCGATTTTTCGATTTATATCTGTTGTTTTGTTTTGTTTCAGAACTTGAGATATCACACACACACACACACACACACACACACACACACACACACACACACACACACACACACGGTTTTCAGCCCCTTTTTCTTTTCATCTCATTTTTGCAAAGTCTTTCAGTGTGTGTTGTTTGTATTGGTTGTTGCAAGTCGTTGTGTAAAAGTTGTTTTTGTGTTTTGTTTTTGCGTTTTCCATCTCTAGCTGGTTGGAGGTGGAAACTTGGGGGGGGAAAGGTAAGGAGGAGATGAGAATGATGGGTTGAAGAAAGCAATGAAAGAGAGAGAAAGAGAGAAAAGATAACGGGTTATGGAATGAATTTATCACCTCTTTTTATTGTTATTACAAACTTTGTGTTTTTTCAATGGGGTTAAATCGCTTTGAAATAGGGGGTACGAAAACAGATGCCAGTGCGACAAACGAAGTTATAATGGTGGGGTTTGGGTGGATTGGATGGATTTCAGGGGAGGGAAAGAAAAGGTGGGGAAATGGTCTTGAATTGTTAGTGGCAGGAGGGAAATGAGAAAGGCGGGCGGGTGGTAGAAAGGGTAGGGAGGGTGGTTGTCTGTGTATTTACTAGCTGTTTTTTATAGGCTTTTATATTCCCCCTCATCATTGAATTTTCGCACTGTTTCGCTCCATGTCTTCTGTTTGTGTGGACTCTGATTGACAGACAACCTTTGTCTTGTGTGGTGATACTATTCTAATCAGAAAAACCATACAAGATGGAGGTGGCAAAACGTAGACAAATGCCCATCAATAACAACACTTACATTCTTCAGTAGGAAAAGACCTCCTTGTTCAAATACCATTTACTTATTATTGCATCACACACACCCTCATCCAAACCCACTTGAACAACCTGCCACAAAACTCACTCCACCGTTTCCCCTCGCAACAAAATTTCAAAAGTTTTGTAGCTGTTTCTTTGCTCCGATGTGCTGCCTGTAAACAATGCTCGAGATTTATGCTCCATGACAGGGGCTGACAGCAGGAAGAACAATATGCCGCCTAGATGACCCAGAACAAATGAGACACGAAATACATGACAAAACAACAAACACCCATTGATCATCCGGAATGTTGTTCCTTATCGTAAATTGTTCCAGACCATCTCAACACCCAACCCCTTACCAAAACACCAAAGAGTAGGCCGCAAACAAGAAAGCATAAACAAATCATTACTTTACAAACGGAAAAGAAAACAGAGGAGAAATGAGACTGTTCAAATCGTCCTCGCAGGAGACGATACCTCTGGCTGCGAGCAGTATTCAGAAAAGGGGTCCACTTGAAGCGGTCTCGCTGCCGGTGTCTGGGCATGACCTCGGCCAGATACTGGCTTTGCTGCGCCCTCACTCGATGGAGGGCACTCATCAGCTTCCAGCACTGCTTCGATGCTGTCCGTTGGTGGTTGAGGTTGATGCAGGCTCCAAATCTCCGGGCTAGCCTCCACCGCGGGCGTATTCATGGTGGAGTGGATGGCGATGGCGCTGTCAGGAGGGGGAGTTTCTTTCTGGCCAACACCATCCTTTTCAAGTGGAAGAGGACAAGCCATTCGATGATCATCTTCGTTGGCTGGCGGTACGCTCCAGTCCTTGCTGGGGAAGAAGGAGTCATCAGCCCTCGGCACTGATGGAGACTCCATTGCTGTCACAGGAAGAGGAATGTAAGCTGCTTCGGGATTTTCTTCCTTAACATGTTCAATCTCAATAACTTCCTCTTCCGGCTGCAACTGCCTCTCCATAACAAGTGGTGGGACAGTCTCCTCGGGAAACCACCCGCCCATGGCAAAGTGTGTCTCTTGATAAACACCCTGCTTCCGTGTTGGTGCGTCGACAGCACCGGTCAAGTAGGTGGAGAGTCGTTTCATATCAATGGGCTTGGGCATCCAGCCGTCAAAGCCCACATCCTTGTACCGCTGTTCGTCTCCACGCCGGAGCATGCCAGAGATGGCAAAGACAGGGACACGGCCATAGGCTTGGACAACGCGAGATGGGGTCGGTCTGGCGTTTTCGAGGTCTCTTATCATCTTAACCGAAGCCCAACCGTCGACGACGGGCATCTGTTCACGAGTATCTGGTTAGAGAAGGCAAGCATGTGCGAAAGGATGCAACGGAACTCACGTTGAGATCCATCAGGATAAAATCAGTAGTAGCTTGATTCGCCGCAAACATGTTATAACACTCTTGGCCATCGCGACTGACAAGAACCTTGTGACCGAACTTGGTCAGGCGACGGTTGAGAATTTGGATATTAATAATGTTGTCATCGGCAATCAGGACGGTAAAGCAGAGTGTCGTCGGCGTCCGCGCCGTGTCCATGGGCGAAATGCTTGGTGTCGGCACAACGATGGGTGGCGAGGCACCCATCTTGGATCCCAGGCCCGCACCTGACGATCCTGCCGGTGTGATGTCGTGTGTTTTGGGGGGAAACGACCCCAAAACCGACGGGCGTCCAGGCATGGGCAATGCTGGGAGCGGGGATGCGTCCCTACGTGCAGCCAGAGAGTGTGCGCGCGATACCACGGTAAAGGGCGCCTCGATGATGAAAGTTGAGCCAAGTCCTTTGACTGACTTCACTCTCAGCTGCCCGTTCTGTTGTTTGACATAGCGGGCCACAAAGGCTAGTCCAACACCGACGCGAAGGACATTGTCCCTCGGCGCCAGCGACTGGCCCATGAGCTCGTCAAAGTCTTCGTCTGGAACCTGCTCAAATTCCTGAAACATGTCATCGAGGGCTCGTTCGCTGAGACCGGGGCCCGAGTCGCTGACCGAAATTTGCATCGTGCAGCTTTCCATTTTCTTGCACGTTGTAGTCCACTCGACCAACACCCGCCCCCTGACTGTATGCTGAATGGCGTTGGCGACCAGTATGGAGACGGCCCGTTGGAGACTGGATGGGTCACCTCGCACGAATCGAACAGCTCCTGTGCAGGGTTTGAGAACAACCTCGATTCCCTTCTCCCTTGCCAGCCGCTCGAGAGGTTCCATGGCCTCCTCCAAGCAGACTCCCACATCAAAGAGGTTGGAGAGCTGCGGGATCGACCCAGTTGCGCTCCCTGTCAAATTCAGGAGGTCATCTATGACGTAGATGAGAGACTTGGATGCCGTGTAGGACGACGTGAGAGCTTGCTTGGTGCTCTCCTCCAGAGGCTTCTCGAGGGCCATCTCAAGGTAGTTGATCACTGCGTTCAGGGGTGTTCGCACTGTCGGTGTATGTCAGCGTTGGGATGGGAAAATCTCTTCCCTTGAATCGCTTACCTTGGTGTGATGCATCATGCAGAAGCAGACGCTTCAACCTTGTCTCTTTGACAGCGGATTCCTTCTCACGCCAGACTCTGATAAAGCTGCCGTAAACAAGCTGGGCCATGGTGGCCAGGGTGGCTAGTTTCGGTCAGTCCGTTACTCGTCCCTTGGCACGATGGTGCGGTGCCTACCTTGCTCTGGTGTCCAGCTCTTGCTGGTTCCATCCACCACTTCGGTCCATTTTTGAAAGCTGTTGCGAGGTTCCAGCGTGCCAAACTTGCCTGCCAGGCATGGCTTCCCTGCCCAGTGAACCTCTCGAAGCTGACTTCGGCGATAAAACACCACACAGTCGTCCGTCATCCCCGACAATGGGATGTACAAGACACCGGCAATTGCCTTGAAGCCGCTTGGATAGTGAAGATCCTGAAAATCATGGGCAAAGTTGCTCGAGACGAGTATTCTGCTCGATCTTCGGAAGAACAAATACTTGAGCAGTGTTACGGCCTCGGCATATGCTGCCAGTCGCCCAATTGTTCTAGCCTCACCCTCCACCACAAGGAAGCCACAGTCGGCCTCGAAGAGTTTGAGTAGCTCGTCCGACGATGCCGTGATGCATTCATTGGGGCTCTTTTGGTCTTGAAGTGTCTCAATGATGCGCCGAGCTTTGAGCCTGTCGGCGTTGAGCAGCTTCTCCAAACAGGTCGATGCTGAGACGCCCACAAAATATATCAATTCCCGCACCGTAAAAGGTACACGCGTTGCCGTGGGTCCATATGAGTGGCAAATGATCAGCCCCCAAAGCTTGCCCTCCGACTCGAGCGACAGAGACATGGAAGATCGAACCTCCATATTTTCCAAATATTTGAGATGGACCGGCGACATTGCTCGGAGATACGAGTGTGTGAGATTCAATGGGGTTTCGATGTCTTTCCGGTCTCTACCCACCAACCGGGCGGTAGTCTGTGTTCTGTCGAAAAGCACACGAACTTTGTTGACCATGTACAGGCGCCGTGCTTGAGGTGGGATATCTGTGTGTGGAAAGTGCAAACCACGGTAAACATCACGACTTGTGGCGGGATCCATGAGCTCGGCGATGACCGTGCCGTTGAAGTCTTGGTCAAACTGGTACACCATGACCCGGTTGAACCTTGAGAGTTCCTTAACCACGCCGACAATAGAATCCAGCAACTGGGAAACCGATTTTGCGGCTGAGAATTGTTTTTGAATCTTGGTTGCCACGTTGACGACCTCGACCGAGGATGCATTGGGGCCAAGACCGCCACACAGGGCGTCTGGACTGGAAATGACAGGTTGACTGCGAGTCTGCATGCTTGAGACAGTGGCAAGATCCATGTGGTCGCTTCCTAGAGTGTCGATGGGATTTGGCGGCACATCAGCCTGCCAGTAATGGGCCATGGGGTGCAATGCGTTGTCCTGCAACTCAAATTCGCAAATGTACAAGTCGACTTCGCCTCCAAGGTAGTGAACAGCGCACCAGCATGGAATAATGAGTCCTTCGGGATCGCTAAAGGAAAAGTCGAATACCACAGGTTCTTGCTCTTTCCTCGTGATCTCGTACGTGGTTCTCACACTTCTTAGCTGGGTATTAAACAGTGGTCGCTGGTAGGTCGGTACCACCTTGTTGAAGCTGTCGAGGGCAAAGATCTCGGCAGGGTGAAAGTGGCAGACTTGAAACGAGTTTTCGCTCACAACCCGGGGAATGTAGACTCCTTCTGCTCGCCGCTTCAGAGCCACGAGCATACCATGCGATTGAATCGCTCCGGGGATGTGGATCAACTCATCTTCGCAACGAGTGACAACTCGTCGTGTGCCCTGAAAGACGCCGTGTGACCCGTCGTTCATGACGGTGTATTCAAATCTGTCCGTCACCAAAGGATTCGACGATCTCAATGCCTCGTCAGGGCCATGTTCGATAACAGCTTCGGGTGTTATCAACGGTGCTTGAGGATCTGGCCCTGGGACAAGCCCATCGGGGGCTGCCACCTGGGCTTCCACACCAGTCACAGAATGGTCTTCTGCCTGAACAGGAACAACTGAAAGAGCAACTCCAGCAGCTGAGCACTTTGAGTCAGCATGATTGTACGTCGCAGGGGTGGAAGGAACACATACTATCACTATTTCGCAGATATGGCGAGTTCTCAAGAATAGATAGGCGGATGGGAAAGACTCTTTCGACCAGCTCTGGCGAGGACATATGGGTTGATGGTCGAGGGTCTGAGAAGGGACCTTGATAAGACTTGGTCTCTTGCGTGAGAAGAGCTGTTGATGATATTATAGGATTGTCCTTCCAGTGAAGAGGCATGGCTGGACGTGGCGCCAACCTCACTTGATGCCGGGAAGGGACTCAGGGGGGGCTTTGCGGCACGTGGGGATGGAGGCGGCGGAGACAACAACGCAGAGGGCGTCGTGATGATGGTGTAAAAATGGCGAGGTCGTTCTCGCGAAGATGGAAGGTGCTATCTGAGGATGATGTCTAACAGCGAAAAGGTCTTTGACTTGTGTCCTCGGATGAAATCTACCGCCGCGCACACACACCATAAATATGAAACATAAGGCTCCTATTGATACGGGGTGCTC